CCCTCTCCCCCCCTCGCTGGCAACCACAAGTCTGAACTCTATATCTGTGGGTCTGTTTCTGTTTTATACATAAGTTCACTTTAAAAAAAATCCGCATATGAGTGATATACCATATAGTATTTTTCTTTCTCTTTCTGGCTTACTTCACTTAGAATGACATTCTCCACGGACATCCGTGTTGCTGCAAATAGCATTATTTTGTCACTTTATGGCTGAGGAGTATTCCATTATAAAAATATACCACATCTTTATCCAGTCATCTCTCAATGGACATTTAGGTTGTTTCCATGTCTTGGCTATTGTAAATAGTGCTGCTATGAACATTGGGGTGCACCTATCTTTTTGAATTAAGGTTCCCTCTGGATATATGCCCAGGGGTGGGACTGCTGGGTCACATGGTAAGTCTATTTTTAGTCTTCAGGAATCTCCATACTGTTTTCCATAATGGCTGCACCAAACTGCCTTCCCAACAGTGTAGGAGGGTTCCCTTTTCTCCACACTCTCTCCAGCATTTATCATTTGTGGACTTCTGAATGATGGCCATTCTGACCGATGTGGACTGATACCTCATGGTAGTTTTGGTTTGCATTTCTCTGATAATTAGCGATATGGAGCATTTTTTCGTGTGCCTAATGGTCATTTGTATGTCTTTATTGGAGAATTGCTTACGTAGGTCTGCCCATTTTGGGCTTGGGTTTGTTTTTTTCTTATTAAGTCATATGAGCTGTTTATACATTCTGGAAATCAAGCCCTTGTCAGTTTTATCTTTTGCAAATATTTTCTCCCATTCCGTAGCTTGTCGTTTTGTTTTGCTTATCATTTCCTTTGCTGTGCAAAAGCTTGTAAGTTTAATTAGGTCCCATTTGTTTATTTTTGCTTTTATTTCTATTGCTTGGGTAGACTGCTCTAGGAGAACATTGCTGAGATGTATGTGAGATAATGTTTTGCCTAAGTTTTCTTCTAGGGGATTTATTGTGTCTTGTCTTGTATTTAAGTCTTTAAGCCATTTTGAGTTTATTTTTGTGTACGGTGTGAGGGAGCAATATAACTTCACTGATCTACATGCAGCTGTCCAGTTTTGAAGGTGGGCACTTTTTATGTAAATAACCATGAGGTCCAAGGATCCTGCAAAGAGGTCACAGTGGAGCCATGGTACCAGGATTTTTCAAGCACTGAATGTTGAGAGTGCTGAGCCGTGTCCCCAAAGTTTCTTTTTCTGTAGGTCTGGGTAGGGCCACAGAGCTTGTACTTTTTTGTTTTTGTTTTTCCGTTTTTAATAGAGGTACTGGGGATGGACCCTAGGACCTCGTGCATGTTAAGCAAGCGTGCTACCCCCGAGCCACACCCACCTCCAGGGTTTCACGTCTCACAGGTTCCAGGTCCTGCGGTTGCCAGATTTCTAAGGGCGCGGCACTGCCCCCAAACCCACGGAGAGATTGGGACACTCCTCCCTAGGAAGAAGCGAAGCCCCGCCCCGTGCTGGGACACCTAGAGCTAAGTTATGCCGGGTCTCCCAGCTGGGCCGTCGCCATGGAGAAGGGAGACGGCGCACGCGCGTGGGCGCAGGCTGCGCATTAACTACGTTACCCAGAAGCGGATGTCTGCGGGGCTTCTGCCCCTGCTGCTGAGCCAATCACGTCCCAGAGGAGAGGCGGTTCCTGCGGCGTCAGGGCGGGACTTCCGGCCCATCCGCATTAGACCATCCTTCCGCGAGCAGATGCTGGTTGGACCGCGACCACGTGAAGTGGAGCGCTGCGCCGGGGCCGCGCCTCCCGGGCGGGCGGGGAGGGAGAGCGACGTGGCCGGGGGCACCTCTGCGCCGTGTCCGAGCCGTGACGCCCCAGCCCTGGCTCCTTCTCCGGGACGCTCCGTGACACGGTGTCCCCGACCGTGGGACAGGCGTCCTCGCGCCTCGTGTTTGCCGGGTGCCACCGGGACCGCAAGTTCTCCGGGGCCTCCTCACCCGCGCTTCGTGGCCAGGGCCCGCGAAGGCGGTGGCCTGGGCCTTGAGAGCATTTGACGTCATTTTGCAGCGAGGTTCGGAGTGCGACACCCAGCCTGAGGTGACCCCGCCCTGGCCTCCCGCCTCTCAGGGCCCCACTCAGCCCCCTGGGTCCCGTGGCGGTGGCAGGTGCGGCAGCACTGATGAATCCGGCGCAGGTGAGTGGAGGTCTCTCAGGGCCACATCTTCATGGTCACCGCCCCTCGCAGTAGCTAATGGTGGTGTCCTGGGACTTTGCCTTTCTTTCTCTGGGTTCTTGGTCGTGGAGTTTCCGGAGGGAGTCACTTCTGGCTCAGGGCGCTTAGTTCAGGCCAAGCATAGGCTCCTGTACTGGCAACCAAGGGAATAAATTCCGGAAGAGTGTCCTACTTCATGTGCAAATACTCGCAGGTGTGACTGAGTTGGGAGTGATCACTGTGTCTTACGGGAATAGAGCTCAGTAAGGATAAGTCAGGCCTGGAATCGCAGCCGGAGGAGCTAGAACGCCTTTCTGAAAGTTTGGACAGAAGATGGAGGTGGTATAACACAGATTTCATTCCATAGGTTTCCTCTGGCTGCAGAGTGGAGACTGTGGAAGTGAGGGAGGAGGCAGGGAGACCTGGGAGGAGTATGAACTGACAGCCTTAAGGTCTGAGTCCTGGGGGTTTATGGGAGAAGGCTGAACCCATGCTTGGCGGTGCTTGGGAGGTATGGTCTGGATGGCACCAGAACTGGCTGGCAGAGTTATTGAGGCCCGTCATGCCTCAGTCAGCTTAACTAGTATTGCGTCTGTCCACCTGCCTGGTTTTGCTCTGGACTGGACACAGTGATCAGAGGAACATAAAGAGAGAGCAGGTGCTCTCTGATATCTCCTCTGAGTTGGGAGGTTGGGGAAGAGAGGGACTAGGGAGTGGTCTGGGAAGAGATGCTGCCTGTGGGCTCAGTTGTCCCCACCATGGCAGGGCTGTGTGACCTTCGAAGATGTGTTCGTGTACTTCTCCCGGGAGGAGTGGGAGCTCCTTGAGGAGGCTCAGAGACTCCTGTACCGCGATGTGATGCTGGAGAACTTTGCACTTGTGTCCTCACTGGGTAAGTCTCTTGTTTCAGTCATCCATTGCTACCTAGCAAATTACCCCAAAGCTTAGTGGGTTGCAAAGACAAACCTTTATTATCTTACAGTTTCTTTGGGTCAAGAATCAAGCATGCCCTAGTTGGGTATCTCTATCCCAACTAGGTCTTTCTTGATCTTGCTATCAAGCTGTCCAGGGCAGCCATCTGACCTGAAAGCTCAACTGGAGGTGAATCTCCACTCAAGGTCATGCACAAGAGCAGGAGGTTGTTAGACTAGTCATTTCCTGGTGGGCTGTTGGCCAGAACCCTCCTTCACTTTCTTGCTGTGTTGTCTTCTCCGTAAGCAGGTCACAGCAAGGCAGCTGATTTCCAAGATCATGAGCAAGAGACAGCATCCAAGATAGAAATTGGTATTTTGAGAACCTATTCTCACAAGTGGCACCTCATTGTTTTTGCCATATTTTGTGCACTAGGAAAGAATTTGTAGGTCCAGCCAACACTCAGCTGGAGGAGGGAGTTAACAAAGGCACGGTTCCCAGTTTCCTGGGCTGAGTTTTGTTCTTCCCAAGGGGTGGCTTTCTCTCCATCTCACAGTTAACTGTGTCGCACACGGCCTCTTTCCCCGGTTCCCTGGACTAAGTAGGGTGAGTACCAGGGCTGGGCGCTGTGCACCACCCCCTCCTCTCCCAGAGCAGCCCCAACCTCTCCTGCCCCGAAGCTTTGAAATGAAGGATCTAGGAGTGAGAAGTCTGTCCATCTGTCCCTCTGCCCATCAGATCCCAGAAGGCCTGGCCGTTCCTTGGTGAGCTGACTGTCCACATCCCTGGCCTGTCTGTGCTCCAGGTTCCTTTCCTCTCATTTTCTAGGGTCTGACGTGGAATCGCAGGCATTGCTGTGGTTACTTGTGGAGAACACCAAGCTCTGCCTAGAAGCCCATTTCCAAGATTCTGTTTTCAGTATCTAATTTTTTTCTCTGTGGAGGGAGTTTCCCTGGGTCACCACTGCCCACTCACCCGCTCTTCTTTCCTGTTAGGACTTGCGGTTTCCAGGTCCCACAGGGTCACCCAGATGGAGGCAGAGGGGAGCCCCGGGTGCCTGAGAAGGTAGACACGGCTCCCGGCACCACGGAGAAGGCCTGGAGGGAGCCCGGCCCGGTGAGTGGAAGCTGCAGGAATCAGGGCTGGCTCCACTCCGTTCCAGTACCTTGTGCTGTGGCAGCTGGTGTTTTGATGCCAACACCGGCGACCCTCATCCCGCTTTGCCCTCCCCCATGTTGATGCTCTGCTCCCTTGTCGTCTCCTCTGACCTCAGGGACCTGTGTCCCACCCCCTTTCTAGTCCCACGTCTAACTTGTTCTTTTCTTGCTCCTCCATGCTGCGCTCTACTGGGTCGGGTTTTTGTTTTTCGTTGTTTTGAGGGGAAGGGGATTAACGTTTGTTTGTTTTTTACTGGAGGTACTGGGGATTGAACCCAGGACCTCGTGCATGCTAAGCAGACGCTCTACCCCTGAGCTATACCCTCCCCCTCCAGCATCGGGTTTCTTTTTAACATGTCATGAGAAGTGCACATACCTTTAAGTCTTCCTTAAACACTAAATCCTGTCTGTGGCCAGATTTTGCTGGCCCTGGAGAGGCCATTTTGCATAGCACTGCCCTGTCACAGGGGACCCGGAGCCTTGCTGGGAAACCCGTTTGCAGACAGCGTGCTTCTCCTGCTCACTCTGAACCCTCTCCTTGTATCCTCCCCCTGCGTGTCTCCTTCAGTCTGCGACCCTCAGAGGCCCACCAACACACAGGAGCCCTTCCTCATCGCGAGTCTAGGATGTCCTGCCCACAGTCCCATGGCTTAGTCCCTGGTTGTCTTAGACACACGTTTGTTACAAAATGCCACTTGCCGCCAGCAGAACACGCGCCTCACCAGTATTTATCCGCCTCCAGATTGTTGGCACGGAATGGAGGATGTGACCACACCTTCTGAGCGGGGTGTTTCTGGGCGACCGTCACAGATGAGAAGGCCCAGGGCAGATTCTCATGCGCGGAAGTCTCACCCCTAGGACAGGGGTGGCCCAGTCTTGAAAGACATGTTTGCCCCTGCTTGAGCCCCGGGGAACCCCATCTGGGCAGCGTCCGGGATCCAACATGCGAGGCCTGTCCAAGAGACTTGTGTGGTTCTACCCCGCCAGATGCAGAAGCGCACGGCCCGCTACGTCTCAGCTGCCCTTGGCGGCGGGAACGTCGCTCCGGGATCAGCTGGCTCGCAGCCAGACCCCCGGCTGGGGCACAGCTGGGAACAGCGAGGACCATTAGAAATACAGGAAGAGTGCGTGGGCCCGGGACGGCTTCCCGCCCGGATCGTCTCCTCAGGAAGGTGAGCTCTGAGCACAGTGGGCGGGGACAGAGGTAGCCTGCCCTCAGGAAGTTTCCTCCAAGTCTCCGGGAGGTGCTTTTCATGAACGGGACTCACGCGGACCGGATCCGGCGTCCCCGACGTAGGCAGGGAGGGCTCGCTGCAGGTGGGAGAAACGCGGGAAAGGCTTTAACAAGCGTGGGCGTGTTGTCGGACATCAGGTCACGCTGAAGGGACTGCCGTGAACGTGAGAACGCCTTTCTCTCTCTTCAAAAAATTCTTTTAAGTATTTTTTTAGGGGGGGAGATACTAGGCTTATTTATTTATATTTGGAGGAGGTGCTGGGGAGTGAACCCAGTGCACGCTGAGCATGCGCTCTGCCACTTCAGCTATAACCTCCCCGTATTTATTTATTTTTAATGGAGGGACTGGGGTTTGAACCCAGGACCACATGCATGCTAAACTAAGCATGTGCTCTACCGCTGAGTTATACTCTCCCTCCTGAGAAAGCCTTTTTTCAAGAGAGCAGATCTCAGTCAACACGTGAGGACTGATGCTCAGCAAAGCCACGTGAGTTCTTCTGCTGTGGCAAGGCCTTTAGCTGTGGGTCAGGCCTCATGCGGCAGCAGCAGATTAACACTGGGGAGAAGGCTCTTGAGTGCAAAGAATGTGGGAAAGTCTCGTGTCAGCTCTGCTTTTGTCCAATATTTCCCACTCCAGAGGCACTCACTTCAAGGGTAAGTGTTTTTTGACAGCTGTATATTTACTCATCACGTGAGGGTTCTCACAGGAGAGAATCCCTGAGGGCAGTGACTGTGGAAAGGCTTTCATTCACCCCATTTCTGTGTGGCCTAAGAGGAGCCACTGGAGAAAAAGCCTTTGAATTTTAGAATGTCGGAGGGCCTTTTGTGACAGTTCCTTGGTAACTCAACACGGAAAGCATCGCTCTAGGAAGAAACCTCGTGAATACAGTGACTGTGGACAGTCCTTCAGCCTCCATTCACCCCTCACCCAGCCTTGAAGCATTCATACTGGGGAGAAACCCGACGAGTGTACGAGATGGGGAAAGCCTTTTACAAGTGGACTAACCTCAGTCAACAGCAGAGAACTCATACTGGGGAGAGACCTTTTGAATGTAACTCCTAAGGAAAATCTCCTGAGCAGCAGAAACATCGTATTCGGCATCTGGGAAGTTATACCAAAGAGAAACCCTGTGAGTGTCACTGCTGTAAGAAAATCTTTTGAGACAAATCACTTGTCAGCTCAAGAGTCATATTGGAAGTGGATGTATCCTAGGACTTGGCATCCTAGGAGAACTGATAAAGGAAAGAGAACCAGGGGCTATTGCGCAGTTTCAAAAATCTTTAGCTACAGCTCTGCCCCTTAGTATACACTGAAAAAGCAGCCGCGGGGATTTTAAAAAGCAAAATCAAAGGAGCAAGAAGAAAAGTGGATGTAACAGGAAAGGAAGTGGATTTGTGGCTTCTTTCGGGGTTTCCCAGACACATTCAAGACGATTTATTGGTGGTTTTTTGTTGATGTTGTTGGCTGGCAGGGGAGGAGTGACGTTTGAGAGGTAAACACCTGAATTAATATATCCTCTCCCCCGGGCCGTGTCAGGAAAGCTGGACACTTCAGAGCAGCTCTGCAAATATTTTTTGAAACCCTTCTTGGTTATGAAATATCTCAACCATTCATTGATTTATGAAGCACTTAAAAGAAATGAGGATACTAAAAATATTGTCTAAAATATATCTAAGGAGATAAGGGCACCCTTATGAATGGGTACATTTTATTGTACTGCTTAAACCATTCAAGGCTTCATTTTTATTCATTCATTCTTCATCATTAAGGTGTAACTGACATAACTGTAAGTTTCAGGTGCACAACATATTTAATTAATACATTTATATTACAGGATGGTTGCCATTGTAGCATGAACCTTTGTTGTGCTGCAGAATTATCCCTTCTAGTGGTGGGAACAGTTAAGATCTAGTCTGTCGGCAGGTTTAAAGTTTGCAATGCAGTATCATTGTTTGTAATCCCTGTACTTTGTATTAGAACTCCGGGAATTATTTACCTACTAGTTGTAAGTACGTACCCTTAAACCACATCTCTCCCATCCCCTCACTCCACCACCAGCCTTTGGTAACCATCATTCCATTCCATTTTCTCCAGTTCAGTTTTTTGTTTTGTTTTGTGTGAGATTCCACATATAAGGGATATTATACAGTGTTTGTCATTCTCTGTCTGACTTACCTCACTTAGCATAATGTCCTCTAAGTCCGTCCATGTTGTCGTAAATGTCTGGGTTTCCTTTTTCCCTAAGGCTGAGTAGTATTCCATTGTATGCATATATATATTTTTTTCTGTGTTCATCCATTAATGGACACTTAGATTGTTTCCGTACCTTGACTGTTGTGAACTACAATAAACACGGAAGTGCACATATCTCTTTGATAACCTGTTTCTATTTCCTTTGGGTATATACTCAGAAGTGGGACTGCTGGATCATTAGGTAGTTCTATTTTTAACACTTTGAAGAAACTCCATACTGTTCTCCAAAGTGGCTGGACCAGTTTCCAATCCCACCAGCAGTGTACAAGTGTCCCTGTTCTCTCCTTCCTTGTCAACACTGTTCTCTCTTGTTTTCTTGATAACCATCCTTACGGTGTGAGGTGGTATCAGTGTGGTTTTGATTCGCATTTCCCTGACAATTAGTGATACTGACTGTATTTTCATGTACCGAGTGGCCATTTGGATGTCTTCTTTCAAAAAATCCCTATTTAGTTCCTCAGTCCATTTTTAAACTCTGTTTGGTTTTTTGTTGTTGAGTTGTTTGAATTCTTTACAAATGTTGTCTGTTAACCCCTTATCTGATACATGGTTTGCAAATACTCTCTCCCATGCTGTAGGTTGCCTTTTTATTTTGTTAGTTGTTTCTTTTGCATTGCAGAAGCTCTTAAGTTCCATGTAGTCCCATTTGTTGATTTTTTTCTTTTCTTTTGTTGTTTGTGCTTTTGGTGTCATATCCAAAAAAATCATTGCTGAGACCAGTATCAAAGAGCTTTCCTATGTTTTCCTCTAGAAGTTTTATAGTATCACTGCTTCTGTTCAAGTCTTTGATCCATTTCAGGTTAATTTTTTGAGTTGTGTAAGATAAGGATCCAATTTCATTTTTCTGCCTGTGATTATCCAGTTTTCCCAACACCATTTGTTGAAGAGACTTATTTTTTCCCCATTGGATGTTTTGGTTCCCTTATCAAATATTAGTTAACTGTATATGTGGGGGTTTAATTCTGGGTTCTCTATTCTGTTACATTGATGTATGTTTGTTTTTGTACCAGTAACATACTGCTTTAATTACTGTGGTTTTGTAGTGTAGTTTGAGATCAGGAAGTGTGACACCTCCAGTTTTCTCTTCCTTCTCATGATTGCTTTGGCCGTTTGTGGTGTTTTGTGGATCCATACAGATTTTAAAATAGTTTTTCTGTTCCTGTGAAAAAATGCCATTGGATTTTGACAGGGATTATGTTAAATGTATAGATGACTTTAGGTAGCATAGACATTTTAAGAATATTAACTCTTCCAATCCATGAACACAGGATGTCCTTCCATTTGTTTGTGTCTTCTTTGATGTCTTTCAACCAAGTCTTGTAGATTTCATTGTGCAAATCTTTCACTTAGTTAAATTTATTCCTAACTATTTTCTTGTTTTTGAATGGGATAGTTTTCCTTATTTCTTTTTTGTTTCTTTGTTAATGAACAGAAATGCAACTGATTTGTGTGTTGATTTTATATCCTGCAACTTTACTGAATTCATTCATTAGGTCCAACTTTTTTTTAGTTCAGTCTTTGGGGTTTTCAGTGTATGAGATCATATCATCTGAAAATAATGACAATTTTACTTCTTTCTTTCCAATTTGGGTACCTTTTATTTCTTTGTCTTGCCTGATTGCTCTAACTAGGACTTCTAATACTATGGTGAATAAGAGTGGTGAGAGAAGGCTTCAATTTAAAACAAAGACAAACACAAGCCCTTTATTCATAGCATTGTAAACATCCAGCATGCTCACTTTTCCTTGATCCCGATCTCTGTGTTTGTCTGTTCTTTTTTTTCCTCTGAGCCCTGATGATGGTTAACTAGCTGTCCTGTCTTCCCTGAGGATGAGTCCTCATTCTTTCATCTGACTGGCTTTTTCACTTTTAAAAATCTTCTCTTGAGGGTTTCTGCAAATCCACTTCAGTTGTTTTCTAGGGGTTGAATTAGGGCTGAAACAAACAGTGAAACACCCATCCCACAACGTTGTAAATCAGCTATACTTCAATTTAAAAAAGAGGGAAAAAAACACACATTCAAGTTAAATTCATGATAACCTTACAGAAACAAAACAAAACATGGATAAGGACCCCACTGTTTAATCTTACAGGACTGCCAAATGTTGATATAAAGAAAAGTGATTGGAAATTACCAGAAGGATGATGACGGCCACACGCAGGTTTGTGCGGGGATGTGTGGGCTTCACACGTACCCGATGGGCTTATTTCCTCGGTCCTTTCATCAGGAGGGGGCATTCTGAAATATCTTTCTGGGATTATCTTTGAGGCTGAACTGCATGAGATGATCATCATTACCTCGTGTTAAAAAAATACATTGTGCATTTTTTAATATACAAACCATCACATCCTTTACTATGAACCCTCCTCAGAGCCGTGTCAATAAGCACAGGTCTAGTTTTGCATCATTTCTGCATCACTGTTGTGAGCTGGGGCCGTTCCATAGTGCTTACCACATTTCATTATGCATGCATTTCTCTGTGAGTCTGGAACTTTGCTATTTATATTGACAGTATGCTTAGCTTTCTATTATTTGGAAAAGAGAGTTGCCTCTGAAGGGCCCCTCCCTCCTGGGCAGTGGTTCTGGTTAGACCAGTAGCTGAGCTCCCGGGTCTGTAAGAGTCAGAGAAATGCTCTCCTGCAGAGGATGTCTCTGTCCACAGCTGAGAGCTCTGCAGTATAACGCAGCACATTCAGAGACTGGGGCCTGCGTCCCTCCCAAGGCAATTGTGACATACTGTCCAGAGGGTGGAGGACTCTTGAGATCTGGACTCTCATTCCCCATTTCTCACCATCTGGTCCTCACTTCCGTGTTCAGTCAGAAGGGCCAGCTACGACCCTGCTGCTGCTTGGGCAAGAGTGATGAGACCCTGTTCATTGACGTGGCACACTGTGAGACGCTGAGACACCCAGAGCCCTGTGCAAACAGCAGAAATGATGAGACAGCCTCTCTCCTGGGTAGCATGGGTGACAACTCTGTCTGTCTGCCACTAGCTGCTGCTCTCATGCTGCTTCCTTCTCCTACCGTGTAAATAACAAATTGCAGGTTATCTGATCATACAACCAGCCCCACTTCCTGACAGCATCAAATTTAGAGCAAGGCTCTATTTCCTTAAGCCCTTCTGCTAATCACTGAACACAAGCCCAGAGCCTAGAAACAGTTTAACATTTTCTTCCTGAGTGCCCCGCATTTCCCACAGTGTGGTAACCCACACTGCAGCACCCGGTAAATCTCACTCTTCCAAGACAGGTGTCAGATCCGTTCCGGGTGCTCGAGGGCATCAGCGCCACATAGCTGCAGACTCAAACTTCCCTGAATTCCAGACTGCACAGCCAACCAGGTACCAACATTTCATCTTAGAGTTCTGATACACATCTCAGACTGAATGAGTGCAACACCCAGTGCCTTATCTCAACCTGCCCCACTCTATTGCCCACACCTCTTCCCTCTACAGCCACAGTGACTAATCTGGTTCTGGCACCAGCACACACTCTTGTCAGTCTGTCCTGACACCTGCTTTTTCCTTTGCTGGAGATGTTTTTCTCCCACGCTGACCCTGCCTGGGGATCCTGCCTCCTTCAGGGGTCTCCGTATCAACCTTTCGCTCCTTTCTTCTTTGCTTCCTATGCTTGAGTTCAATGTCCATCTTCCTATTTTACACACAAGGACACTGAACCCCAGGGATAAGCGACATGACCATGGTTGTGTGGCTGGGGATGGGCACAGTGCAGATCAGCCAGAATCCCAATCAATCCCAACTCCAAGCTCTCAGCCCCTAGGTCACTCTGCTCCCTCCATCTTGGCCCTCACACCCCCACACCTTGGTCCTTCCTTCTCCTGTAGTTCTGGGGCTCCCAGACACATGTCTGTCAAAGCAACACTCTCTTTATGGCACCTGCTTCAGTTACTGCCTTCTCCACATGAAATGAGCTCCAGGTCAGGAGCTGCATCTCAGTCACCCACGTGTATGGCCTGTAAAAATGTATCCTTTTGACAATAGGCCTAACTGCAGTTTATGCAAACTTCCTGCATTTAATGTTTAAAAAGTATAGAATGAGACTAGAGGTATACAGGTGTGGTCTATGCAAAATTTTTAACCATTACCTACAACGCCCTTGGTGAGTCAGGGAGTGATTGTATTTTACATTTTAAAATAAATATGATCAGTGATTCTGCAAAGAGGAGCCTCTGACTTCCTCCTATAGCTGTTTTACCCACCAGGGTTCATGGACTCTAATCAATAGAAGTTATAATAGGCCAGAGGAGGAATTCAGACATGCTTTATTGAGACTCTCGCTGCAGCCCCAGGGACTGAACACAAGTGTCAGTTTCCTTGCTCACTCCCTGAATAGGAGTGAGGGGGTGGGTTGCCCGAGCTGGTTCCTTAAATGGGGTGGGATAGGGTCAGTCAGTTGGGCCAGAAGGGTGGCTTACGTGGTCTGCGCGCCTCTTTGGTGGTGCTGTGTGTGGGGACCGTGCACAGTAACCTGCTTTTGCTCCGGGCATCTCAGAAGCAGCCGCTGGGTTTTGGCCTTTTTGTATCTTACTCATAATTTGCCCCCCAACTACCCAAGTATGCAGTTATTTTTAGTCCCTTACAGTTTTCTTTGTATGTTGTTGCTGGAGAAGACCTTTGTCCAAGTGCAAGCACCGCAGTAAAGGCCACCAGCTGCTAGCCTGTCTCAGCTGTCACAACCTTGCGGTAACGATGAATAACAGCAATAATAGCGTGTGTGTGTGTAGCACCGGACCCTGTGCTAATAAGCACTTTTCATCTCACTTTCCATGAGGTAGGCTGTAGTATTTTCCCATTTTAGTTGTTGCACTTTGGGGGCGGGGAGGCGGTCCTGACTTTTAAGGAGAGTTCCAGTTCTCAAACTTGAGCTAGGGCGCCACCCCCCAGGGTTTCTGCGTCAGAAGGTGAAGGCTGGATGCAAGCACTTGGATTTTTCAGTCCATTCCTAAGTGATAACCAATTTTGGCTATCAACCAGTTAAAGTTACATTTCATGTTCTTACACGAAGACCGCAGGCACCGCGGGCACGAGACAGGGATACTCATCGTTCCATTTAAATTCCAAGTCCCAGCTCTCCCAGAAAGGAAGAGTACGTCGTCACCTGCTGGAAACGTCGGAGGACGCGGCGCTGTCCCGGGTGACCACGGAAATCCGGGCGCGTCCCCTTTAAGAAGAGCGTTGACACTCCGGGACGCCGTTCCCGCCCCCGCCCTTTCTCCCGCTACCGGGGCGAACCGGAAACGAGCCCTCCCCTAGTTGGACGCCAGGCACAAACCCCCTTACCCAGAAGTCTGTGCCCGGCGCATCCGCGCTCCGCCAATGACAGCCCGCAAGATGGGCGTTTCCTGCCACCCGTGCCGACAGAGGCGGGGCTTCCGCCGTCGCCGTTGTGACGTCTTTCGCTAGCGCCGGGACTGTCCACAGAGGCTGGAGAGGCTGGAGAGGCTGGAGAGGCTGGGAGTCCAGGACCGGTCCACTTTTCACACGGCTCTTCCGAACCGAACAGGGAAGGACGGTAAAAAGGATAGGACCTCCTCCGCGCGTTTGTCACGATCCATGACCCCTGTCGTGGGACGGGCCGCCTTGCGCGGAGGTGTCCGGCGGGGCTGCGCCCTCCCCGAGGCCTTGGCACCGGCGCTCCGTCCTGGTCCGGCCCCGGAGGCGGCGCCCTGAGTTGTGCGCGTTTTCACACGGGGGAGCCTGGGGCTCGAAGTGCGACCGTCATCCCGAGGTCGCCCCGCGCAGTGAACGTGTGGTGGTTCGGCTACTCCCGCAGAGCCCGCTCCGTTCCCCAGCTTCTTACGACCGGGTTCTGCTCACTGGATCCCATGGCGGCCGCGGCGCTTATGGACCGGGCTCAGGTGAGCGGAGGGTCCTTCGAGCCCTCACCGACTCAGATGGAGGGGACGGTGTGTCACCGCTTCCTCTTCGTCGCTCTTTCTCTTGAGTATAAAAGGAAGTCATTCACGGCGGATAAATGGCGAGGTTCCCATTCCCAGCATTGATGGGATGAGGCGTGAAATTTTCCAAGGCACAGGAGCCAGTTGGTACCAGTATTGGCGGTGAGAATGAATTAGGAGTGTTCCAGAAACAGGTCTCTTAAGTTTGGTGAGAACAGAGAGCTCGCGGTCTGGGATCAGGCCTGGAATGGCAGCCTGAGGAGCCGGGCCTCTGTTCTGGGGGTGGTGGGAGCCACGGCAGGTTTGTAACAGAGAAGGGAGGTGATCTGATTAGGTGTTAACAGGCAGGAGCGTTAACTGGCTGCAGAGTGGAAAGTTTAGGGGAAGCCTGCGGTGGGCAGGGAGACCAGGATGGAGTCTACTGCAACAGACCAGGTAAGTGTGATGGTGAGTGGACCAGAGTGGTGGCAGTGGAGGTTAGAGAAGTGTATGGATTTTGTATATGTTTTTAAAGTAGGACCCAGGGGGATTTTCTGATGAGACACGGTGACATTCTGGGACTCTTCACCTGTCCCTCCCTCTGCACTTGAGCCTGCGGGCCTTAAAGATGGGGTCCTTTCTAGCCCAGCATCCTGCATCTGGGTCAAAGGTTATATGAGGAGGATCCTACTTCTGTCAATAGACTGAGGACTGGAAGGGTGTATTAGACCCAGGAACAGCATGTGCGAATGCTTGGAGGTAAGATTGAGGTGGGAGTCCTCAAGGAACCACTAGTCTAAATGATGTCTGTCAGGAGTCAGACCAGGACCAGGAGTCAGTCAAGAAAGGCAGGCTGAGGGTCTGAACCTCTGTTCTGAGGGGACTGAAAGACATCGAGGATTTGGAGCAGAAGAGAGAGGTGATCTGACTCAGATCTTAACGGGCTCCCTCTGGCTGCCCTCTGGTTGAGAACAGAGTGTGTGTGTGAAGGAGGAGCCTGCTGTGGTAGTTCACGAAGTGTTGGTAGTGGCTGTGGAAATGAGAGAAATTCACGAAGTGTTGGTAGTGGCTGTGGAAATGAGAGAAGTAGGCGGAGTTTGTAGCTGTTTATGTAGGGGGACTGGATTTTCAGATGTGATAGGTAAATGAATGAAAGAAAGGGTCACAGACGACCCCACGTTTTCTTTTTTACCTTATATGGAAGGGCGATGGAAATGCATCAGCTGAGATGGGGCGGGTCAGTGGCAGGAGTGGTTTTCAATGGCTATATTGGGAGTTAAGCTTTCATCATGTTTAGTTTAAGAAGACCCCCACGAGACCCCTTAGTTGAGGCTGGACACAGGTCTTTAGTTCTGGGGAGGGGTTCTGGTTGAAGAGGTTCAAACTGGTGGCCAGTGTGTGAAGTGGGCTGGAGCTGTGGGTTAAATTGAGGGAGTATCTTGTCATGGTGGCAGTGCCATTAATGAGAAACTGGGAACTAAGGATGGGGTCTTTTGCTTAGGCACCTGGGTGGCAGTAGTGCCTGTCATGAAGACATGTGAGTACTTTCTGGATACTGTGTGCAGAGTGGCTTCGTGGGTAGGGGCTGCCTTGGAGGTGCATATGGTGTGGACCAGAGGTTGTCAGTGGTAATGGGTGGGGGGTCTGAGATAGAAGAAAGTGTGGTTCAGAGTGATGTAGAGGGGAGGGTATAACTCAGGAGTAGAGTGTGTGCTTGGCATACACAAAGTCTTGGGTTTAATCCCCAGCACCTCCTCTAAAAATAAATGAATAAGTAAACCTAATTACCTCCCCGCAAAAAAGTTAAAGAAAAAAAAGAACGATGTGTATGTTAGGAGGAGTGTGATCTAATGCTGATAGGAAAGTGTCTGGTGCCCTTCTTGCCAGACCCATAGCTTACATAGTATCTGTCTGCCCACCTGCTTGGCTCTGCTCTGGGCAATCAGGGAGACATGAGGTGAGAACAGGCACTAGTGGTGTCAAGGCTTGCATCGCGCCTGACGTGGGTGGCGGGGGGAGGATAGGGACCAGGGGTGGGTAGGTGAGTGGTTAGACTGGGGAGTCCTGTTATCTGTGGGCTCAACTGTCCCCATCATGACAGGGCTATGTGGCCTTCGAGGACGTGTTCCTGTACTTCTCCCGGGAGGAGTGGGAGCTCCTTGAGGAAGCTCAGAGACTCCTGTACCGTGATGTGATGCTGGAGAACTTTGCACTTGTGGCCTCCGTAGGTAAGTCCCTGTTTTAGTTTTAGTTGTCTATTGGTACATGGCAAATTACTCCAACATTTAGTGACTTGAAACAGTAAAAATTTGATATCTCAGTTTCAGTGCACCCTTACAGCTTACCTGGGTGCTTTCGGCTCAGGGTCTCTCGGGAGGTTTCAGTCAAGCTGTCAGCCAAAGCTGTGTTCTCATTTGATGGCCCGTCTTGGGAGGAATCCACTTGCAAATGCACTCACGTGATAGTTTGCAGGATTTTGTTTCTTGTGGCTTGTTGAACTGTGAGCGTTAGTTCCTGGCTGGCTACTGGCCAGAGGTCTCCCTTGGTTCCTCATCATGGTGGCCTTTCTGTAACACACCTCATAACATGGAATTTGCCTTCTCTCTGAGCAAGTGAGCAAGAGAGAATGTCCAGGATGAACACTGGTCTCTTTCTAACCCAACCTTGCAAAAATAACCACATCATTTTTGCCATATTCTGTTCCTTAGAAACAGGGCGTCAGTCCAGCCTACGATCAAGGGAAGAGGTTGATTCAGGGCAGGAATAACCAGGAGGTAGGCCTTCCTGGGGGCGGTCTTAGAGGCTGCCTTCCCCAGGCCCTCACACCCGCTCCAGCGTGGTCATTCCCTAGCTCCCCAGGGGCAGCTCTCTCTGTCCAGCCGATCACTGACTCTTCTCTCTCTCTTCTCTGGTTCCCAGAGGAGGTCCCGGGGCTGGGCCCTGTGTAATGTCTCCTGCCCCGCTGGGTAGTCCCAGCACCTGCTGCCCAGAGCCTTTCAGGAGAAGGTTAGGAGTCCAGGGCTCGTTGAGTCCCGTTAACAGACTCCGCGTGGCTTGGGCCCTTCCAGCTTCTGGCCTCATCCCAGAGCTGGCATTTCTTGGGGCCTGACGATGCCAGGAATTGTAGGTACTGACACAGTCGCTGCTTGTGGAGGTCACAGGGACATTCTGCCAAATCGTCCTTCGAGGTTTGTTGGGTTGTTTGTTTTGACATTTTTTTTCCTTCTCTGTGGGATGGGTCTGTCTGGGCCACTCATCTGCCCTGTGTTTTCTTTCCATCTTCCACATCCCGTGGGGTTGTCCACTTGGAGAGGGGCAGAACGCCCCAGGCTAGCCCCAATTCCAGCCACAGAGAGAGAGGCCAGGCAGGGGGGCTGGGCCGGCCTCGTGGGAGCCGAGAGAGAGTCATCCGAGGGCTGGGTTCACATCGTGCCTTTGACCCGCTTTGTGTTCCCCGGGTTTTCCTGCCAAGGCCTGGAGCAGCCCCTTACATTCACTTTTCCTTCCCCGTTCTTGGCACTTGGCCCACTTGACACTTCTGTCCTGTCTTCCAACCCTTGGCAGTTTCCCCACCTCTCGGTTCTCACTCATTCTCCTCTGCTCCAACACTGGTTATTTTAACGTGTCATAAGCTGTGCACATATCCTTACGTAGCCCTGTGGAACCAGCTACTTACTTACAGTCAGATTTTCCCAGGCCTGGACACACTCTTCTGCACAGAGCTCACCTGACACCAGCAGCCAAGGCCCTGCTGAAACCCTTTTGTAGAGGAGTGAGTTGGAGACCTGGCCTCCACTCTGTGTCTCCACTACACCACCATTGTGTCTTTACCCATCACTAGAGTTTGTCCGTACTGTGATCTTCTGGGGTCCAGGTCCCCGATCCCAGCTCCCTCACCCTGCCAGAAGCCAGGGGACTCCTTCATTGGTGTGTCACACATACCTATGTGATGGAATTGCTGCTTCCCACCAAAGTCACCATGTGCTTCACTAGCATTTCTTTGCTTTCAGGTTGTTGGTGTGAAGCAGACAATGAGGAGGCCCCTTCCAAGCAGAGCGTTTTTGTAGAAGGAGTGTCCGAGCTCAGGACTCCTGAGTCCTGCCCATTTTTCCAGAAAGCCCACCCGTGTGAGATATGTGACCCACTCTTGAAAGACATTTTGCACCTGGCTGAACACCAGGGATCGTACCCAGCACAGAAACTGTACACATGGGACCCCTGTGGGAGAGGATCCTTATTCAGTGAAAACCTTTATCAGCACCACACACAATACGGTGGGAAGAAACCTTTCAGAGGGGATGGTGGTGGGGCCTCACTTGGGAAGAGGTGTGCTGTCCACGTGTTAGGGAGACCCTTTACTTGCAGGGAGGAAGGGATGGACTTGCCAGATGGCTCTGGCCTCTTCCAGCACCAGAACATTCACAGTGGAATGAGTCCACACGGAAGGACTGAGTTCCTGGAGTCTTTTCCGGCCAGCTCCCATCTTGGGCCACACGCGGGAGACCAAGCAGAGCTGATGCTTTTCAACTGCAGTGACAATGGAAGAGCCCTCCTGAACACCTTCACTTTCCTTGACAACCAGATAACTCAGACCCAATTGAGAGCCTTTAGGTGCCTGCCATGTGGAAATCTGTCCAAGGAGAAATCAGCTCTCACTCATAGTGGAGAAACATCACATGTGTGTAAGGAGTGTGGAAAGGCCTTCATTCATCTGTCTCACCTAAAAATGCACCAGAAGTTTCACACTGGAAAAAGACATTACACGTGCAGTGACTGTGGGAAGGTCTTTAGCCGCAAAGATACGCTTGTTCAGCACCAGAGAGTCCACACAGGGGAAAGATCTTATGACTGCAGTGAATGTGGGAAAGCATACAGCAGAAGCTCCCACCTTATTCAGCACCAGAGAATCCACACTGGAGAAAGGCCTTATAAGTGCAGTGAATGTGGAAAAGCCTTCAGCCGCAAAGACACCCTCGTTCAGCACCAGAGATTTCACACTGGAGAGAGGCCTTACGAGTGCAGTGAATGTGGGAAATTCTTTAGCCAGAGCTCCCACCTGATTGAGCACTGGAGAATCCATACAGGGGCAAGGCCTTACGAGTGCATCGAATGTGGGAAGTTCTTTAGCCATAACTCCAGCCTCATTAAACATCGGAGAGTCCACACAGGGGCACGGTCTTATGTGTGCAGCAAATGTGGGAAGGCTTTCGGCTGCAAAGACACACTCGTTCAGCACCAGATAATTCACACTGGAGCAAGGCCCTATGAGTGCAGCGAATGTGGAAAGGCCTTCAGCCGTAAAGACACACTTGTTCAGCACCAGAAAATCCACACTGGAGAAAGGCCTTACGAGTGTGGGGAATGTGGAAAATTCTTCAGCCATAGCTCCAACCTTATTGTGCACCAGAGAGTTCACACTGGAGCGAAGCCTTACGAGTGCAGTGAATGTGGGAAATGCTTTAGCCACAACTCCAGCCTCATTCTCCACCAGAGAGTTCACACTGGGGCCAGGCCTTACGTGTGCAGTGAGTGTGGAAAAGCTTACATTAGTAGTTCCCACCTTGTGCAACACAAGAAAGTTCACACTGGAGCAAGACCTTACGAGTGCAGTGAGTGTGGAAAATTCTTTAGCCGCAACTCTAGCCTCATTCTACACCAGAGGGTTCACACTGGAGAAAAGCCTTACGTGTGCAGTGAATGCGGGAAAGCCTACAGCAGAACCTCCCACCTTGTTCGGCACCAGAAAGTTCATGTGGGGGAGCGGCCTCATGAGTGCAGCAGTTTAGGAGGCCCTCTAGCTGCATCTCTTGAACTTGTTTAACACCCACAAAGTTCACACTAGAGAAAGGCCTTATGAATGCAGAAAACGTGCTGTGTTTTTGTTCAAGATGGTAGGACTGGTGGAGGGTGTAGCTCAGCGGTGGAGCATGTGCTTACTTAGCACACACAAGGTGCTGGGTTCCATCCCCAGTACCTCTGTTAAAATTAAAAAAAATAAGTAAAAGCCCAATTACCTCCCCACCCCACAAAATAGAAACAAGATTTAAAAAAAAAAAAAAAAAACGATAGGACTGACACCAGAGCAAAGCTCTGTGAGGGCCCCGGGGGAAGGAGCCAGCAGCCAACAGGTCAACCTTGTACGTGCGTCCATCCGTCCTGGGGAGACTCCCAATAAGACCACGCAGGTGAGAAGCTTTCATGAGGCGCATTGCACTTTCTAAACTGTCCAAGGCTCTTGACAGTTACATGACTGCCAGTGCCCATGGCGGAAGCCTCGTTGCACCAGCTGTTAACGTTCTCACGGTGCCTGTCAGTTACGCCAACATGCACGACATTACGCCTGTTCTCTCTCTCCTGTTCCCTGGAGAGGATCATGAATGTTCTGAGTCCATTGAAGGTCCTCGTTTCCTCCCCCGTGACCAGGTTCTGAGTGACTGTGATCAAGCTCTGGCTGAAAGGATCTGAACTGGATTCTGCTGGGGATTTCCAGACAAGATTTCCCTTCTTCATGGACAGTGTTGACTGTCATCATGACAGCTGTGACTTGTTTTTCCTGCTTCCAAAGCACTCGACTTTGGAACTACCTGCCCCCTGCTGCTCTGGTTCCTGTAGTGATAAAGGCCTGTCTCTGCCATCCTCACTCTTGGGAGGTCGGCTCACTGTGTATAATGGATTGAGGAAAAATCGGTTTCTGCCAACACAAAGGGAGGAACACCTTTTGTTGGCACCAACCTGATGTGCCTCAAAGGGCACAGTAGGGTGGCAGGGAACAGATTTCAGTCTAGTTTGGCCCGTGTTGCATTGTTGCCCAAGGCTTGCTAGAAAAGACTGAAGAGCTCTGTGCGTCTGATCCCATTGCCTGGAAGTCAGGATCTCCTGTGAGCCCAGAGTTCCTTCTGAGGAGGGCGTAGTTGGTGTGAAAGTCTCCAGTGCTTCTGGAAGCAACACGAATCGGGTCCTCTGTTCCTCAGGAGTGTCCCACATGCCCCAGCACTTTGGAGGGATCTCTGTTCCTGGACCTGTATGGGAGCCAGTCCCTGATGTCCAGAAGCCCGTAGGCTGGTATCATTGATTGGAAGGTGAAGGACAAGGTGGGAATCACAGCTGGTGTAGAAGCACTGAGGTCACAGCGTTGGGGTGACTGGCTAATGAGAGGATGCGTGTCTGCTCTAAAGCAGGCATCTCTAACTGGGTGATTTCAGCTGTGTGGCATGAAGGTGTACAGAAGGTCTCAGGACCTGCAGGCATCTCGATCTCCTGTGGCCAATGCCACTGTCAGAGTAAATAATCTGAAGATTTGCAGATTTGAGTACCTGCCTGGGCTATTGGTGTAATGGCCATCACTGCCTCGGGCAGAACCCCAGCACTGACAGAAGAGAGGGCCTTCTCTGACCCAGCCAGCATGCCTGGTGACTGAAGTGGACGTGGACTTCACTGCTCTCCAGTTTTTACTGATACAGAGGCAGGGCTCACCCTCCCGAATTGTGGGGAGAGGGATATGGTAGAACCAGAGCAGTTGATCGATGGTACTTTTCAGAAGGAGAGGTAGATACGGACTTTTATGGGGAACATTTAGTTCTTAGCAGCTTTATTGAGATATGGTGACATGAATAAACCTCACATGTGTAAAGTGTAAAACATGTTATGTTTCAGCATGGGTACATATGGATGAAACCATCCCCACAATCAAAATGAAGCTATCCAACACAACCAAGAGTCCCTGTGTCCCTTTATAGTCCTTTCCTCCCATCCTTTCTAAGCTCCATTCCCACAGTTCACAAGTAATAGCAAGCATTTTCTAGAATTTCACATAAACAGAGTCATGTGGTAGGTAATTTCTGGGGAGTGGGGACTGGTATTTTTCACTAACCATAACTGTTTCAAGATGAATCCATTTGTTGCATGTATCAACAGTTAGCGCATTTGTATCATGGAGTATTATTCCACTGTGTGGGTATGCCACAGCTGGTTTTTTATCCATTCAGCTGTCAGTGGGTATTTGGGTTGTTTCCAATTTTGAGCTGTTACAAATAAAGCTGCTATAAAGATTTGTGTACTGAATAATATTCCATTGTATGGATGTACCACAGTTTGTTTATCCATTCACTGACTGAAGAACATCTTGATTGCTTCCAAGTTTTGGCACTTATGAATAAACCTGCCATATGCATTATCTGTATAGGTTTCGTGTGGAGGTTTTGTTCTAGTGATTTTCAATTCATTTGGGGTCAAGTCAAGGAGCATGGTTTGCTGTGTCATATGATAAGTTTGTTTAGTTCTGTAAGAGACTGTCTTCCAAAGTGGCGGTATCATTTTACATTCCCATCAGCAATGGGTGAGAGTTCCTGTTGCTTCATGTCCTCATCAGCATTTGGTGTTCTCAGTGTTTTGGATTTTTACCATTCAAATAGTTGTGTACTAATAGTATGCTCTTGTTGCTTTAATTTGCAATTCCCTGATGACGTATGATGAATATCTTTTCACATTCTTGTAACGGTTTCTTTGGCAGAGCAGAGATTTTAAATTTTAGTGAAGTCCAAATTACTGAGCTTTCCTTTGATGGATTGTGTTTTTGGTGTTGTATCTTAAAAAGTCATTGCCAAACTCAAGATCACCTACATTGTCTTCTGTGTTACCTTCTAGGTGTGTTATACTTTTGTGATAAAATATTTGTGAAAGGTGTAAGATCTGTGTCTGGATCACTTTTAAACATGAGGATGTCTAATAGTTCCAGCACTATTTGTTGAAAAGATTATCCTTTCTCCATTGAATTGCCTTTGCTCCCTTTTTAAAAATCAGTTGACTGTATTTGTGTGGGTCTATTTCTAGACCCTCTGTTCCAGTGTTTTCCATTTATTGGGATGATCGTTGTGTGGCTGTTTTTTTGTTGCTGCTGTTGTCTTTTATTTATACAGTATATCCCATTAATTGACACCCAGATGTTAAACTAAACTTGCATTTCCCGGGACGGATCCCACTGGATCATGATGTATAGGTTGCTGAGTCCGGTTTCTGACACTTTGTTAATCAGTATATTTCGCATCTATATAGATGCGCAGTAATAGGTTTGTAGATTTCTTTTCTTGTGATACTGACTTTGCTACCAGAGTAATTCTGAGCTCAGAATAAGTTGGGAAGTGCTTCCTCCTCCTCTCCTTATTTTCTAGAAACATTTTTGAAGGATTAATGATACTTCTTTTTTAAATGTTTGCTAGAATTCCTTAGTGAAGGCATCTAAGTCTGGAATTTTCTTGGCAGAAGATTTTTGATAAAAATAACTTAATGTGCCTCTATATAAATTTTCTACTTAAGTCACATTTGATAATTTGTGTCTTTCTAGGAATTTGTCCACTTTTAACTAGATTTTCTCATTTGGGAGGAGGATGTTTATAGTATTCCATTATAGCACTGAATTTCTGGAGGCCCAGTAGTGTCCTCATTCTTGATTTTGTTGATTTGTTGTCTTCTTGTCAGCCAACCTAAAATTTTTATTCATCTTTTGAAAGAACTGGCTTTTTTTGTTTTCACTGATTTTTAAAAAAATATTTTTTCTGTCTCGGTGAGTTTTGTTCTAATCTTTATGGGCCCCCTTTTTCATCCTTGCTTTAGTGTTGGTTTGGTCTTATTCTCCAGGTTTCTTCACATCGAAGGTTAGGCTGTTGACATTTTTCTCCTTTTGTAATAAGCTGGCTAAAGCCATACATGTCCCTCTAATTATTTAATTTAGCTGTGTCACGTCAGCTCTTCGATGTAGCATCTTTATTTGCATGTAGTTCAAAATACTTGTTTTTAACGTTTCCCTTGTAACTTCTCCTTTTACCCATCAGATATCTGGCGATGTGTGGTTCATTGTCTCTCCTGATCAGATTTTCAGGGACAGTATCACACAGCAGGACGGATGCTCTTAAGTCTTCAGTCAGTGGCCCAAGTGTTACTGTTGAAATGGAGGAAATCCGTGGGTTGTTTGAAATACCTTCCACTCGGAGGAAGAGACTGAGCTAAGCCATTGGTGTTTAATGTAGAAAGAGAAGCCTCCATCCATACCTACCAGGAATTGTTACCGAATTTAGGTTCGGCTGGTTGCAGCTCAACAGCCAGTACATGAGAGGCAAGTGTTGGTAGAAAGGAAAGTTGCTGTAATCGGAAAAGCCGGCAGTCTGGGGGGTAGGTGGAAGCATATCCCAAGGCTAACTCCGAAGATTCTGCTTAGCCATGACCATTTTTAAAGGGGAAAAGGGGGAAGAATCTCAGCGAATCATCGAGGCAGGAGGTCGGGATCTGCACCACTCTCAGTGGTGTGCAGACTGGCTGACTCTTCAGACATGATCTTCCCACATGGCCTGCCTGCAGGATTGCTAAGGGGGCTGTTGTGGGTAGAGAACTCATCATTGTTGGGCCATTGACTGAAAACTTGAGAGCGTTTTACCCTCCTGCTCTGTGATACCATCCCTGCAAGTTTGATAGTGAGAGACTTACTAAACCACACATTGCCAAATATCCTATGGGTAAAAGGAGAAATTACAAGGGGATTACAAGGCCCACCAGACCAGAGACTCATACAAGCAACCTGATTCCTGAAACTGTGACTCAGAAACGTCACAAGGTGATGGTTAGCCCTGGCTTCTTTGTTCTTCTCCTTTAAAAGCCCTAACTCAAAGGCCAAGTTGGAGTGGATCTGAGACTTGTCTCCCACTCCCTTGTTTAACGCCCTGCAGGAAACCCTTACTTTACTGCAGACACCCAGTGTCAGCTTGGCTTCTGCACAGCGGGTAGAGTAGGGAAGGAGGTGCTGAGGAGAGAGATCAGAGGATGAGGCGGGAAGACAGCTGGCTGTGGGCAGCAGCCGGAGGACAGAGAGATGGAGGACCTCCTAGGGGATGAGTCTCCTTTGTTGCTGCTGAAGCTTGTCGACTTGGTCGTTAGCTTTGGCCAAAGAATCTTTTAGTGGTGTAATTTTTATTTCAGAATTTAATTTGGAGGCCTCTGCATATTAATAAACAATACTATCCTTTGGGCCTGAGAATTCTTATTTTCAAAGGTACCTTTCAAATGAACCCTTTTGTTCAAATAAGGTGTCCCCCAGAGTGGCCGTTGAAAGTCCAAATCATCCTTGGTATAGTTATGCTGCTCAGAAAGACAGGCTAAGAGTCAGGATTGTAACAGGAATATGAAATACAGGAATTTTTCTTGGGAGAGGAGAGGATTTAGACTGAGACCACCTCAGAGGGCAGGCAGTGGTCAGTAGGAATGTGATGCTTGTGGACCTCAGGCCCCTAACCTGATGGTGGCCATCTCACTGCACAGCCCCACAGTGGTCCCCTGGCATGTGGATGCCAGAGAGAGTACTCTCTCTAGATTATAGCCCAGCTCTCAATACAAAAATCTTAAGATGGAAGGAGATCTCATTCGGTTTACTGGTGACCCACAGCAAAGCCTGTCCATGTAGCCTCCAGTCCAGTGAGAACTGCAGACCCGCCTGTCTATGAGGCTGGCTTGAACAACAGGATTACAGGGCAGTGACTGTGTTCCACCCCCTGATTCAGCTTCTTATGACAAACAACACTTTGACAGCACAGAACAAAACACTAGCTCAGAGGACAGCAAAAGGCATGAGAAGGAAGGCCCTGATTGACCAAGGATCACAAACAACTGGGAACTAACAGCAAAACCCAAGAGTCAAACTGAGAATGAAAAGCCAGGAAGCTCAGTACAGAGTAGAGTTCAGACCCTCTGCTGATTTACCACATCTTCACGATTCAAGTTGCCTTGAGCAGCAAGGCACAAGGGACTTCTGTGGCTCCTGCCCCTAGTGGAAGGCAGGGCAGACCATGTCTCAGTGGGACCTCCACATAAGCGTAGTAGGCTGTAGCATGGCTTCCACACTGGGCACGTCCAGTTTATCCTGTCCTTCTGTCCACTGCACGTTGACTAGTGTGAACTGGAGGACCGGTGATGCACAGTGTGGAATCTCCTTACACCTGTTACAGTTTTACCTTTTTAATCTTTCTCTTAAAAATTATTTTTTCACTTGCTTTGTTACTAGTTGAAGAAGTCATAAATCTCTCATGCTTAACTGTTAATAATGTTGGTTTACATCTGTCCATCATTTTCAACACTGAATGAACAATTGCATACCAGACAGAGACCTTGAAGAGGGTTTTTACCACATTTACTAAATACCCACTCTTCAGGAAATTCATCACAAAATGTACACTTGGATTTTGGCATTTTTGTGTTCAGTATGCAGAAAAAACAGATAATACCAACTTCAGCAAGAATAGAAAAATCGCCTTTTCAGTCTCACATCTGTGTCACTGTCTGTCACAAGTCCAGACTCATAACTAAGTGTTGACAGAGGTTGAACTATTAATAGGTTTGCAAATTTGTGAACTAACAATACACTGAACTCGGTATCTGATACCAAAACAAACAGGCAAAAAAGGTGAACTTTCTGTTTGCCTGCAAGGGAGAGTTCTACTTGTCAGACAGTCACCCCCAAAAATGCCGGAGCAACTCTCACGTAAGCTTTGGGGAGGGCGGCGCTCAGAAGAC